CTATAACAGCGCATAATTCCGCAGCAGTTTCCCTGGAGCCTGGTGCAGACCCCTGACCTCCTCCTAAAACAGAGCTGAAAGTGGACCAGAAAACAGACCCAGGGCTTTGCCTCTGGCATGGAGACCCTTTCGGGCAGCAGGCTACCTGAAGCGCTCCTGTTCTCACCCTGTTTTGAAGAGAGATTTTTTTTTTTTTTTTTTCCTCTCAAAATATAATGCATCTTCCCCAGGCACGCGCGCACAGGTCTCTTCTGCCCTCCTCTTCCCGAAGGGAAGGCCCCGTCCTGGTGTGCACGAGGTGGCCTTAGCGTTTCTAACCTGAACAGAAATCCAGGCCACTGCCCCACAGCTCCGCCTGAGGGAGGGGAGACAGATGTGGAACGGAGTAAAAATAGCCGAGAGCCTTTGGAAACGCATCTTTGCTGCGCTGATTGAGGAACTGAGACTCCAGCAAGAACCGAGGCTCTTCCTACAGCGAGCCACTGCTGGATCTCCCGGCCGCGTGCAGCAGGCTCCCGTGTCAAAACCAGTTCCTCAAATAAAAGGCTTGAGCGCCCCTACTCCAGCAGCTATTCACGGCCAGTTTATGGTTGGGCCAATACCTTTCTCCAGTTCAAACGGTTCTTTCACACTTGGTATCTCCAATCCCTTTTTAGATATTCTCTCCAACAGCATCCATCCTTCCGTCACTGAGAAACAGTGAACTGCAAGCTCACAAGCTGAGCAAGGAGGTTTTGCCTTTCACACACACGCAACAGCCTGCTCCGGGTACGCTGCTCCTGCTCCACTCCGTGGAGCGTGGCAAAATACAATCTGAAGAGGTAACAGGCAAAACAAGTTTGCGGAGGAAGTTACGCCTTTGGAACTATCCCCGCCTTTAACCCTTCTGAGAAGGCAGTTTCCCCCGATGAGAAGACAACTGTCCCCTAAAAGGGTTAATAGGTTACAGGGCTTGATCCCACATTTCCCTAGTGATACTTCATGGTCTGTGCTGTACATGAAATAAGTGACCTCGGTGGAGTCATCAGGATTTGACTACTTACAAGATTCTCCTCTCACCATTTTGGTAGCTCAGCTTTCCATTCACATCTAGGTTTTGGATAGAAGTCTCATCACCATAGGCGGGGGGGGGTTCCTTCTGCCGCCCAGCAAACGATGTTAAACAACCACAGCACAAGCATCTGGAGGAGCCCAGACACGCATCTGAGGGGGGCACCCCCCAAACCCTCCGCCTGATTCTCTGGCATTAACTGCGACCTCAACAAGTACGTGGGAAAGAACCAGGATTCTCCCTTTTTAAAGCCTCGCGGCAGTGCCCAGACCCCG